ATCTTACACATTTTAAAAACAAGATTATTATTCTTACACAATCAGTTCTTGTTTAGTAAATCAGTCTCAAAACAAGATCAAAAAGACTTTTTGGCTGATATAAGATTTTAAAACTTGGTTAGGTGGACATTTTTTGCAGTGTAATCAGGAAATTAGTTCCCTATTAGGGCTTTAGTGCTTTAGGGGAGCTGTGCCCACCACTGCAGACACGTATGGGCTTGTGTTTTTGTAAATTTGGCACCATTTTTCTATCCTTGGTTAAAAGCCAGGTCTGTCTGAAAAGTAAAGGAAGTTCTTCTCGTTTGCAGAGGAACGTGTTGGCCTCAGGAGTCGTCCCTCAGATCTCCCTCATCATGGGTCCCTGTGCAGGAGGGGCGGTCTACTCCCCCGCCCTGACAGACTTCACCTTCATGGTGAAGGTACGAGGCTGCTCATATCCACTCAGCAAACCCCGCCCACAGACGAGCAGTGTGCACCTGTTTGAAACTCGCTGACCTGTGTTGTTTTCAGGACACGTCCTATCTGTTCATCACAGGACCGGATGTTGTGAAGTCCGTCACCAACGAAGACGTGACGCAGGAGGAGCTCGGAGGAGCCAAAACCCACACGACTGTGTCGGGTCAGACAGAACATGAGCTGTATTTGTGTTTATGCATSAAGTCACTGACGTGGGTTTTAGTAAAGGCTATTGCTCAAAGAACGTTTCCACTAAAATGAGTCTTTTTTTTTTACGTTCAGGCGTGGCTCATCGCGCGTTTGAGAACGAYGTCGAGGCTTTGCTCAACCTGCGAGAGTTTTTCAACTTCCTCCCACTGAGCAACCAGGACCCCGCCCCGATCCGAGAGTGCCACGACCCCAGGTGAGCAAACTGCCTTTACCTCCAAACAGCTGGAAGAGTGTGTGTTTGTAATAAAGCTGTGAAACTGTGTGAAACATGAGGCACAGCAGGGTTCCTGCAGATCCTTAAAAAGTCTTAAAAGGCACTGAATTCATCAATCCAAAAATAAGGCCTTAATTAGCCTTAAAATGTCTTAAATCAATCTGTCAGAAGTCTTAAAAATGTGAACACATTGTAAATAGGATGATTGTAATTCAGCTCAAATATTAAAATAATGCTAACGTTTGTTTTTTTAAATATTTACAGTACATGCAGACATTCCTCTTTGACATCACTTCCTGTTACTTAGATGCAAATATCTCAACAACTGTTCATCTGAGCAACGTGAAATTTGTTTTGTAATATGTTAATGTTGTCTTTTTAAAAATGCATTAACTTTTCTTACAAATTTTGATGTCACGTGCACTTAAGGTTTCATCTACAGCAAATTGGGGTTAAAACCCCACTGTGGGTCCTAAAACTCCAAATTTTGGGTCATTAAACTGACTGCTAAGATGTTTTTGCTGTATTTGATGAAAAAGCAGTTAGATCTGGATAAAAACAATTGGTCTGTTATCAATATTTGAATACTTCAAAAATACTTTGATTCATGAGTTTCTGCTACAGTTTTAAATTTTTTTTTGTCCTTTGTGGTTTTTATGAAATTGGTCTTAAATTTTATTTCAGTTGGCATTAAAAAGTCTTTAAAAGTCTTAAATTTAACTTACTTTAAACTGTAGGAACCCTGTACAGTGACACCTTTCTGCTTAGTTAGCCTGCTTTTCTTCTGGTTTCTTCTCACAGACCAAAAACATGCTGGTTCATACTGGAACAAGCAGATTAGGGCGTTTTGGACGTCTTTGTCTCACAGAGTGTTCATGGTTAGGACGACAGGATTCCCACTGATCCATAAAATGTCTTAAACAACGTTGAATTCATCCATCTAAAAATAAGACCTTAATTAGCCTTAAAATGTCACATGTGAGAGAGGTGAATGTGGAGGAGCGACCACAGAAGTAGCTCTGTTTTTGTTTTTATTTCACGTGTTCATTGTGAAATTGGTCTTAAATTTAATTTCAAGTGGCATTAAAAAGTCCTACATTTAACTTGGCTCAGGCTGTAGGAACGAGGTACACTTCGCTGCAGCATGCAGAACGGGGYGGTGACAGACCTTTCCGTCAGTCCCATACCTTATATGGAAATGGGACTATTGCATTCCGGAAATGAAGGTTGCGCGGGATTAAGAGAGCAAAGGAAGAAGAAAGGAAGAAGTTAGAGAGTTTCTTCTACTCACGTTGAAGTAAGTGTTGCCAGGTGTACGATAATTATCGTA